AACTTAAAAAAGCGATTTACTTGAAGAAGTTTTTTCCTCTCGTGTAAAATTTGTAAAAGTGGGCTTTGCAACTTTTTACTATAAGATAACGATATGTTAAATATAAATATGGAAACAATGAATCATTTTTATTTCATTTCGAATTACCTGCATTTTCTGTGACTTTTTTTAAATTAAGTAAGCAAATTTTTGTTTGAATTTATGCATTTTGAAAGGAACATACCTCTTTGTCAAAAGCCTACAAAACGCTTTCGAATAAAACATTTGCCTATTTCAAATTTTAAGGCGTTTAAAGCAAGTGAAGAAAAGCTGCCATTTGACCAGCCTTTATACGTTTTAGTATATTCTAAATAATTTTTGACACTTCTCGCAGCGAAGCAAGCAAAGCAAGCCTGCATTGGGCCAGCACTTTAACTGGAGTTGGCAACTCTACCAACGAATGAGTGGAAAGTGCCATGGTAGAAAAATTATAAACAACTGATATTTTTGCACACTTTTGGCCATGTTAAAATAATTGATAGTGGAAAATATAAAGTCCTGTTGTTACCTTTAACTTCGCTTGTCGTAGGAGCAGATAATTTCTTAAAAATGGCCAATAGTTACGATATACCAAGTTGGTAAGCTACTCACAATTAAGATGTTTCACCTGTCGGAAATAAGGCTTGATTTCCCTTTACAGGGCTGGTAAGCCACCCACCGGCTTGCATTTGGATGTCCTTAAAGATGATAAACTTGTGCAGAAACTTATGGTGGATGAAAAGCGTTGCTATCTCTTCGGGCGCAATAGTCAAATGAATGATTTTTGTATTGACCACGCCTCCTGTTCGCGAGTGCATTCAGCATTCGTGTATCATAAGCACTTGAACATCGCCTATTTGGTGGATTTGGGTTCAAGTAAGTTATACACATAATATATTAGTAAAATTACCTAAAGATTAATTATGCAAACATGTTTCTCCTCAGCCCACGGTACATTTATTGGTACCTTGCGCTTGGAACCTCATAAACCGACACAGCTGCAAATTAATAGCACTTTTCATTTTGGGGCTTCCACGCGACGATATATTCTCAGGGAGCGGCCTTCCGCCGGGCAACGTAATAGCATTATGGAAGATTTGCCCCTGAGCGAAACCAGCGACGGTGCGTTACTGGGTTTGCCTGAAAGTCAAACCGAATTAGATGTAAGTTTTTAGTTACTATACATGAAATATAACAATTATTTGTAAAGACTTGTATTGTTTTAGAATCTCACCGAATACAATACTGCACATAACCGGCGTATTTCTATGTTGGGTATTGCAGACGACAATTTGAGAAAGGTGAGTGATGTTTATTCATAGTAACACATTTTTTGCCAAATTAAATAGTTTTTCTTTTACTGAAGCAAAATGCAGCAAAACATAGTGGTCGTAAACGCCGCAATGTTACGTTTAATGACGAAGAAATTATAATTAACCCAGAAGACGTAGACCCAACTGTCGGACGGTTCCGTAATTTGGTTCAAACAACTGTTGTACCGGCTAAACGTGCTCGTTTTGATTCTGGCGGTCAAATGGGTATTCAATCAACACCAAGCGGTGGGGCCATACTATCAAACGCTGCATTATCTTCAAGTGGTTCTACTGCTCATCAAATGTTCCAGCAAAGTTTAGCAGAACTTAAGCAACAAGTGAGCTCTGCACCACTCTCTCCTTCTTCCCTCTATCAAGGACTCCCTGCATCTGTACATGACTCCCATCCAAATCCTAGTTTGAAGTTTAACAGTAGTAGCACGGACTTTGATATAACGCCAATTGCAATGGGCACGAAATTGGGTTTGTTACTGCCAAATCCAGCTCCTGATGTAACACCCGTAGTTGCTGAACCGTCGCCAGTAAAGCCCTTGATGGGGGTAGGAGCCGCACAGAGATTAGGGCAGGCCAATGCAAATTGTGAGTTCCCATCCGAAAAAAATATATTTCAATTCTTATGCTCGTCTTTTATTATAGTGCGTTTCGATCCACATGGTGTTGCTGGCGGTTCTGCGTCAGAAAGCGGTGGACACGGGCCGCAAAAGAAGAAATATGCCAAGGAAGCATGGCCTGGACGAAAACCAATGTTGGGACAGCTTTAATTTATTAATAGCATGACTGTGCGGAAGTAAAATAAAATTAGATAAACTAAATAAAATTATTATAAGTTACGACAAGGTGAATTCATATATTGCGTATACGTAATACTTTTATATTGGCAGTAAGCTAACTAAGCTAACAATGTGTAAGCATTCCGAAATCAAAGTGAGACAGTCTAGTACCGCTTTTGTGAATGTATTGTGAACGTGAGTGCCGTTTTTGTGTATGTGTTGTGTATATGTTTATTTATAAACGTACGTGTTCTTTTTCTTTCGTACGTTTTTATTGATATATCTGTACTGTAATGTTTTCGGAGAGTACTAGCTCTTACTGCCAATATAGGAGTATTACATATATGATATATTGTAATAATATTATATATATAAATTCGCCTTGAGTTATGTATGTATTTCATTATATCAATTACACAGGTCAACAACGTTTTGTTCTAGGAAAGTGTAGGGTCGTTTTCGAAGTAATTTTTTGCGTAGAATCCGAATCCGGGGTTTAAATTGCTCTATCACGTCAGGATTTTGAGATATCTTAACCTAAAAGTGCAAAAACGCTGTTTTTGCCCATTTTTGAGGTTATGTAGCTACGCAGATTTTGCCCTTCATAAAAAAGTAAACGTGGTATTTTAAAGTATGAGTCTTCCTCTTTTAAATGCCGTTGAGTTTGCTTAAATATATTTATTTTTCACTGAGATAATGCATTTTGAAGTTTCCATGTTTGTGAATTTTTCGATATTCGAAAATCCATTGAGATAACATGAGACGTGATACGGTCGATTACTTCTTTAGGGCGGACGGTATTGAAAATGGGCAAAATCGGACAATAACCACGCCTACCTCCCATATAACGGTAATTTTCAGGAATACGAAAACTGCGATATTTTAGTAACTACTGAAGATTATTCACTCAAAATTGATATTTTCAATAAGTTTTAGACGAAAAATAAGAATATTATAAAGTTTTGGAAAATGGGCGTAGCCACGCCCACTTATGGTTACATGTGTATATCTTGGTAACCGCTGCACCGATTTCTTCCAAACTTGGCACAGTTGTTAACCTTGGTATAACATACGAAACGGCCGAAAATTTTTTAAATCGGACAATAACCACGCCCACATCCCATATAACGGTAATTTAGAGAAATGCGAAATCTTCGATAAATCAGTTTGAAATTGAAGCTAATTTATTCAAAATTTATGCTTGCAACAATTCTTTACCAAGAAATACGTTTAGGATAAAATTTTGAAAAATGGGGGAAAATGGGCGTGGCACCGCCCACTTATGATCACATATATGTAT